GAGAGGGAGGGCGGCAGAGACCAGAGGTTAAGATCCCGGTCAGTGCACTCTGGTGATCCCGGGAGCACATGGCCGCCGGTCTCAGGGAGGTGGGAGGGGACCCGGTCACCTTCACCGCGAAGTCGATAACCCTCTTGACAGCCACAAGTGCGCGCAGCTCCGCCATCTTCCAGCCGCAGCCACACGCGCGGAGTCAGCCCTCACTCTGCTTCACCACTCCGGACACACCGCCCTGGTTTCTCTTTCTGCGCCTGCGCGTCCTCAGTCACTCAAGCGCCCCGGCAGACAGCCAATCAGAAGGCCGAGGCGGGAAAGGAGTGGCAGGCAGAAGACCAATAGAAAGCATAATCCGGGGAGAGAGGCGGGATCCGGGACGGCAGGGAAACACCCTGGGCGAAGGGGGCGCGGCCGGGAAGTCGGGGAAAGGTCGAGTCCGGGAACTGGATCCCAGATCCTCCCGATCCTCGTAAACTCTGTCTGGAGTTTCCGAAGCTGATCTTCCCTTCTAGGTCACTCCTGCCCGCGTCCCCAGCGCTCCGTGCCCGGGTCCCCCCGCGTTTGTCTCCCTAAGCTGTTCTTGCCTGTCTCCAGTCTCCTAGTGGCCCCCGCGCCCTCCCCACGCCTTGGAGATCCCCTCCGGTCTCTAGGTCCGTGTCCCTGCTCCACATTCCCCTCACGACTTTCCCGAGCCTCTCTCTGACCCCATGTGACCCCATATCCGTGTCCCCGATCTTTTTTAGGCCCTGATCCCATGTCCCCCACAAAAAGCACGCGGACCCGCGGCGCTAAAAACCTCTCTTTATTCTGCCCCAGACAGGCGCAGTCACAGGCACACGGGGAACCCACTGATGGCCTCGGTGCTCTGCACGATCATGTCCGCCAACAGAAAACAAAAGCCTGGCGGAGGGAGCACGGGGCGGCTGTAGGGAGGTGGGGCAAGGGGGGGGACGCCCAGGTGGGCCCGGGGACTGGGGATGGACGGGAGAGGGGTTCCAAGGCCCGGGCCTACGGGAATAGGGAGTGGAGACCCCGAAAGTCCCTGTGGGGTTTGCTGGGGCAGGGGAAGAAGGTCCTCCGGGCAGTTTTCCCCCCTCTTCCCACTGTGCAGATTACCCGCGAGAATAGAGAAGGGGAAAGCCAGCCACCCGGAAAAATAGGACCAGGAGAAGAAGACGTCCTGCTTCCACGCATTCTTCACTGTGTAGCCGGTTAAGGCAATCAGCAGCAGCAGTCCTGGGTCACGCCCACCCACCAGGTAAGCTGGGAAGGGGCTGTATCTGGGCTCCGCCCAGAGCACATCCTCCGCCCCTTAGGGCCTGCCTGGTCTATCAGACCTCGTTCACCTCTGCTTTTTCCTTTAGCTCCGCCCCCTCCGAACCAGCCAGAGCCACGCCTCTTAGTTAAGCCTGTGGTTCTGCCCCTCCTCTGGACCCCGCCCCCTCCGCTGGGCTTCGCTCCTCCACTGGGCCCCGCCCATGCCCCCTCCGATAGGCCCTGCCTACACCCCCTCCCTTGGCCCCGCCTGACGTCCCTCCTCTCGGCCCCGCCCCTCCGCTCGGCCCCGCCCCTCCCAGCCCCCGGGTCGCCCCTCGCCCACCCTCTGTGGCTTCCCTCCATCTCACCGCTGAGGAAGAGCATGGCGCTGGTAGTCTGGCCCCGCAGCGAGTCGCCCTCTTGGCACCGGATCCGCAGCCCCATCGCCATGGCCACCAAGCCGAAGCCCGCCGCCAGCACCATGCACGCTCCGGTCATGGCCAGCATGGCTGCGGGGGGCGCGCTGCGTCAGCCCGCGCGGGCGACCCGCAGCTTTCCCGACCACCACCCTCCCTGCTGAGCCCCCTCGGCCCAGCATGAAGGGTTCCGACCGGACCGGGAGTCACGTCTGTGCCGGTGGCTCATGGCGCGGGCGGGAGGCGGGTGTCTGTGGGGACCCAGTGGGGCAGGTGGCCACGTCTGAGCCTGGGGTGGGGAGAGGTCCGTGCAGATGTGGGGTGCAGAGGGGTCTGTGCAGATGTTCGGGTGGGGAGGGGTCCGTGCAGATGTGGGGTGCAGAGGTGTCTGTGCAGATGTTTGGGTGGGGAGAGGTCCGTGCAGATGTGGGGTGGGGAGGGGTCCGTGCAGATGTTGGGGTGGGGACAGGTCCATGCAGATGCAGGGTGCGGAGGGGTCCGTGCAGACGTTGGGGTGGGAAGGGGTCTGTGCAGATGTAGTGTGGGAGAGGGGTCCGTGCAGATGTGGGGTGGGGAGGAGTCTGTGCAGATGTTGGGGTGGGGAGAGGTCCATGCAGATGTGGGGTGCGGAGGGGTCCGTGCAAATGTGGGGTGGGGAGGGGTCTGTGCAGATGTTGGGTAGAGAGGTGTACATGCAGCTGTGGGGTGTGCAGTCTGGGAGTGGCCCTGGGGGAGGATCTTGGGGGGAGGGG